AGATTAACTTTTTAGCTTTGCCTCTTTGAATTGAAGGCTCTTCCAGAGTCTGACTTTATTGATAGTTATGAACTTTAAAATTTCCAGCCAAAATGTCCTCATGGCTGCAAATCTGTTCTTCTGTCAGTGTTGTCAGTTTGAGAAGTCCTCTTTGTTCCTGCTTCATTCTCTAGTTTCCTCTCTCCCCATTCACTTACACACACAGACACTGTCAGCCTTCATCTTTGCCAGATTCACTGACCTAATGTTTTTCTAGTGCCATCTCAGATGAGCACTCCAGTCTCCTCGCCAGCATACAGCCCATCTCTTGCAGTTTGGGTTCATAAGTGGCCTGCACAGTCACACAGTCTCCCAGATTAAACCTTGCTGGTGTCTTGTACAGAAACACTCAGAATACCCCTGGTTTTACCGGGTGGATGTGGTGGTGCACCGTACAACTGGGTCTGCCACTGTCTTGACTACATCACCTTAGGGGTCAATCTAAGTGAGGTGCTAATATCTCAGGTACACCCAGGAAGTGTCTTCTTTCCAATAACTGACTGATTCCCCATTTGTCTAACAGTTTCTGTGCTTATCCTAGTTTTCTTCACTACCAGTTCTCATTTAGCAGTGTTAAAAGCTTTACAGAGATCCAAAGAGATGAGTTCATATTTATATCATACTTCTAATAAAAAATCAAAGAAGGATGTTGTGTATGTCATGGATATCTGGCATGACATCCACGTTTTCTTTTAGCCCATTTTCCAAGACTTTAGTTCATGGAATCATAGAATAACCTGAGCTGGAAGGAACTCATAAGGTTCATGGAGTCCAGCTCCTCACCCTCCACAGGACAGCCCAAGGATCACATCCTGTGCCTGATAATGTTCCCCAAATGCTTTTTGAACTCTGTCAGGCTGCTGCTATGACAACTTTCCTGGGAATCTTCTTCCAATGCCCAACCACCCTCTGGGTGAAGAATTGTGTTATAATATCTGACCTAAACCTCTTCTGATACAACTTCATCTATTCCATCCTGTCACTGCTCACCAGAGGGAAGAGATTGGTGCTGGCCCCTCCTCTTCCCCTCATGAGGAAGTTGTAGCCTGCAATGAGGTCCCCCCTCAGTCTCCTCCAGACTGAACAGACCAAGTGACCTCAGCTGCTCCTCATTCATACTCCCTTCAAGATGCTTCACTATCTTTGTAGCTCTCCTTTGCACACTCTCTAATAGCTTTGTATCTTTGCTATACTGTGGCTCTCAGAACTGTCCCCAGCACTGGAGGTGAGGCTGCCCCAGCTCAGGGCAGAGGGGACAATCCCCTCCCTTGCCCGGCTGGTGATGCTGGGCCTGATGCCCCCCAGGACAGGGCTGGTTCTCCTGGCTGCCAGGGCACTGCTGGCACATGTTCAACTTGCCACTGACCAGGAACCCCAGGTCCCTTTCTGCAGCAGTGCTCTCCAGCCTCTTATCCCCCAGTCTGTCCATACATCCAGGGTTGTCCCATCCAGGGTGCAGAATCCAGCACTTTCCATTGCTAAACTTAGTGGTTGCCCAGTCCCCTAAATTTTCAAGGTTTCTCTGCAGGGCCTCCCTGTCTCTGAGGGAGTCAACAGCTCCTCACAATTTAGTATCATCAGCAAATTTACTTATTATGCCTTTGAGTTGTGCATCCAAGTTATGTTATTCCTCACTTCAAAATTTCTTCTAAAGCCTGTCAGGTACTATCAGGTTACAGGCATCAACTCACTAGTTCACATTTTTTTTCTCTTCTTTTAGGGGGACTAAGTTTGCTGCTTCTCAGTTATGTTGCATTATTTTCAAGTTCATAGAAAAGTGACAAATACTGTCTATCAGACCTAAATTTACATGCTATATCTTACAATGGTTTCCCAATAGAGATTACCTACTTCTGCTGAATGTGCTAAATTCCTGGAGTTTTTATTCCACTCAGTTGTTATTTTTATATCAATGTGATATGGATAATTCCCATTACCTGCCTTTTCTTCTTTTTCACTATTGTCTTACTTGAGGAAAAATTATTATTTTTTCACTGATATCTAGGAATATATTTAATCACTATGCCAATGTAATTTCATTATAAATCCAACTTTTATTTCATTTTTGCTATTTTTAATAATCCTTCCAGAGTCAACATTACCTTGATTTTTGGTAATACTTGATTTACACTTCCACTTCCTGGCCTTCAAAACTTTTTTTTTTTTTAATATATATTTCCTTCCATGCTTTATAAGTTCCTTGTCTATATGTAAGAACCTAGTCTATGCTGACTGTTCCAGCCAGAGGACAGTTTGCAATGAACTTTTACAGTCGTTTGCTTTTGCTTGAAAAACAAATCTAAATACATATTTACTTCTTTTTTTTAATATTATGTTAAATACTATATACTTTTTCTCAGTGGGCAAACATTCAAAATAAAGCAATACCTTTGAATGTTCTGAGCTGTTTCCATTTCACTTAAAAGGAAACTAATTCGGAGTCTCAGATGTAGCTGTGCAGCAGCCGCCTTTCAGAGGGGCCCTGTGATGTGCTGCTGAAAGGATGTGATTTATGATATTTTTTCATTGCTATACATAGCTATGCACATATTGTAACTGAATAAAAATGCAGTAACAGAATGTACATAGAGTTTTTTGAATGTCTATCCATGTCCACGTATAACTTTGCCTAGTGCACATGCATACATAGGTTAGTAGTTATGTGCATAGTAGTGCATGAATGCCAAAAATTTGACCTTAGATGTCAGAATTGTAACTGTTTCACTTCAGGCCTTTCCAATTAAACAGACAGCTGTTGTGGGAGGCTCTACCTGTGTGTTTGCACAATTTTTCCACCCCATCCTCTTCCTTGTGTTTTCAGAGCTGAGGGAGTGTGCAAAGCACCTGGAGGCAGCTCTTCTTCACTCTACTTTCTTCCTGACAGTCTTCCTTCTGCTTTCTCTGTGGTAACCAGTGACAGGACCTGAGGAAAGGGCCTGAAGTTATGTCAGAGGAGGTTTAGGTTAGGAATAGGCTTTGGGAAAAGGTCCTTCAGGCAGAGGGTGGTTGGGCAGTGATCAGGCTCCCAAGGGCAGCGGTCACAGCACCAAACCTAACTAAAGCAAACCAAAGTTCAAGAAGCGTTTAGGACAATGCCCTCAGGCACATGGTGTGACTCTTGGGGATGGTTCTGTGTTGAACTGGGAGTTGGATTCGATGATCCTTGTGCATCTCTTCCAGCTCAGCTTATTCTGTGATAATGACAGGCAAGGGAATTCAGGTTTTGTTACAGTGCATCAGGCATGTGGGATGTGACTTGCCCCTCTGTTCTCCAGAAGATAATCCCAGAGAGATGGTAATTAACATGGAAGAGGGGAAAGTGCTACTACAGCAGTTTTCCTATTTGGAGTATTCACAAAGTATTCACAGTATCATATCCTGAGGTGGTTTTGCCAGCTTCATAAAACAGAAAGGAAAGCATTGACATTTGGACTGGTCTGATGTTCTCCAGCTGTATTTGTGGTCTCTATATGCACTTTCATATGCAGCGACCCCTACAAGTGCTCGAATGTTTGGCAGAATTAGGGCATGCCCTTTGGAAAGAATGGGATTTTTATCTGTTTTTGGATGTATCTGACAGAAGGCTGCCTATCATGGGCTGTGAGGGCACAGAATCTGACAGGGCTTTGGGAATTTAGGCACTGAGGTGTGTGGGGCTCCACAACACGCTGCCCGACAGGCCTCATGGAGGGCTTGGATGCAATCAGTGCATGGAAAGGAAGCCTTTCTGCTAAGAGCACATCCCTGCTGTAGCTCAGCAGGAGCTGAAGGGAAACCATCCACCCAAACCATGTCCCCAGGGAACAGGAAGGCAGGAAGGCTCTCCCAGAGTACATGGCCACCAGTGGGAGGGCTGATTTCCAGATCACAGCCTTTTCTAGCTGTGGAAGAGGTGAGCAAGAACCATGCTTCAGGTTTGTTCAGCAGCTCTGCACTGGAGGCAGAGCAGCAGCACACTCTGTGCTTCAGCCACTGCTGTCAGTGACGTCTGCAGGGCCACGTGGGCACCATCAGATCAGTGTTTGTGCTGATCACATCTTGGGCAGAGTCATTAAAATGTCACTTTCATGCAGGTAGCAAGAATGAGGGTTATTTTAGGCAAGCTGTGGAGGAACAGTCCTTGGCCATGAGCAAAAATCAAACAGGTGAACAATAAAGCTTGGCACATTTGTGTGAGCTTGCCACCTGTGGGTCCCACATTCCCTACTCTGCTAACAAGGTCATTTCTGTCTCTGCAGTTCTGCTGCTGCTCACCTTCCACAGAGGATGGTTCTACCATAGTGGAGGCAGGGGGACTTGGCTTATTTCTGGTGTCACCCTGATGCCAAGCTAAATTCAGTTGCACTGTACACCCCCCACTCTGAGGGAATTTTAGTTCCTATTTTGATATTCCAAGGACAAGTTCCTTGAATAAAGCTTGAGATGGTCACTACCCATTTTGCAGAAGAGGACATCCAGATACTTGCAATGGCATGTTACCATCCCCAGTGTGATGACCCATGAGTGGAGATGCTGTTTACAGGGGCTGGATAAAGACAGTGGGTGGAGTTCTTGGAGAAACCAAGGGGACATGTCTGTGGAATGGCTAATGGCAATTAAAAATTGTCAGTATATGGCAGTACCAGTTTTGTTTAAAATCATCACTGAGTGCAAAGGCCTGAACCAGCAGGAATGGTTAAGCTTAACAGGATGCCAGTAAGAAAAGCAAAATTTACTGCTTTCATAACGGCATTTTTTTTAGGACCTGTAAATCCTTTTAAAATTGCAGCATGATCTGTATATGTGCATGAGAAGATCTCAACTAGTTAGAAGTGACACAGCTAGATCAATAACTACATGTTATTTCTGAAGTGTGCTTTACTGCTTGTGGAAGTTAAATCTGGTGAGATGTTTTTGCAGATTTGAGCTTTGATCAGTGTGCTATAAAGATGCATACTTACATCATACATTTGCTTTTGCAGCTCCTGGTTGCTAAATCCCCTGTTGCTCCGTTCTCCTCTTTTTTCTACACCATTGAGAAATCAGGCTTGGTTCTTCAGGGTAAGACCAGAACATTGGCTGTTTTGCCTTTTCAATTAGTATTTTAAGCAGACTGAATGTAGATAACGATAACTATTGTTGTAAATGGTGCTGTTTATACCAAATTAAAACACCACACATTTAGACATTCTGGTTAACAAGGGGAGCAATCTGCTGAATTCAGTTTCTTCTTGGATTACACTGAATTAGCTCTTGCATATTGTCGTGGATCTAGAAATGGGCCCTGATATTATTAACCAGGACTCCCTGTTTCCGTCCAAGGTAAAGTGGAATGGTTCAGGAAACAGAGGGTCCTAGGGGGTAGGTTTCTTCAGGAGAAACATACCCATCTATCATTAATAACCTGCTCTAATAGATGGTTCTTCTTTAGCAAATGGCTTGGCATTAGTAAAAATAGAGGAATTTAATGTCTGTTTTCTATTTTTGTGATCACTTTAATGCTAATGCCCTGTGGTCTTAAATTATCCTCAGATTCTCTAGGATTTGAAGTGGTATACTGAAAATCTGGGTATTACTACCATGCTGACAGGGAACTAGGATTCCTCGTGGCTGTGTCCTGAATCATGTACTTTCAGACACAGCAAAGAGGGAAGCTCAGCTCTTCCCTTCTTTTCCCATTTATCCCAGCAAACATCCTTACTTTTTGACAAACATTCATAGATCAATTTTGTTGAGTTGATGTCTTTTGATATGCAGCCTGGCTCCTTACCACTGCATCAGTTTAACAGACTGAATAAAACTGGTCAGTGCCTGTCACTTTCTGTTCAGGGAGGACATCTGATATGCAGCCAGGGCACTAAGACAAGTGAGTATAGCTGGTTCTCAGTTTCCAGTGATGGAGAATCACTGATCCCATGAGGCACTGTGAACTCTTTAAGAGATGTCAACAGTTCTCCTCCTTGTGACTGCACATTTCTCACATTCAAACAGGATGTACCAGATTAACGACATATTTATATTTCCTAGTGACTCAGTATGCTTACATCTCAGGTGATGCAAAATGTCAGAGAACAAAAGAAATTAAAATGTTTTATGGTGCATTTTTTATTCCATTTGATACATCTACATAATTGTAATGGGAGGGAGGTACAGTGTTTCCTAAGCCTTTGGATACTATTTTCAGTATATTCTTAGATAGCGTTTTGGGCATTTGATCTGCTTTTATTTGGTACCAGTAATTCTAAAAGTCTACAGGAACTTGAAAACTTTTTAGTTGAAACTGAGGTTACTTGCAAGAGTTGGTCTTGATGTGTTTTGTTTCAGTATAGGGAAGATGATAAGCTACCTTTCTGTCTTGGGTATCTTGAGTTACATAGATGTTTCTGGTCATTATTTAAAAAGGCAGACAATTTCCTGCTCTGTCTTCAGGCACTAATGTAGTGAAACTTCGGGAAAGAAAGTTTTCCCATTTCAGAAACAGGGAGCATTTGTTCAGAGACAATCTTATTTTTTTCAGCTCTTTTCTGTGAGCCATGAATATAGCTTTCTCAGGACTAAACCATACCTTTAAAGAACAAATGGGCCTGGTTACACATAATGATGATGGAGCAGCATTAAATCCTCCTGATAGGAGGATATCACTGCATTAAAAGTGTGACAATTGCTCTTTTCCCTGTACCCATATGTTTCTGGGGTGTATATTTAAAACATCGTTTGCCATTTTTCTACAAACAGATAAAATAACAGTTTGGATTTCTTTAAGTAATTAATGTCTCGATGTCAGGCATTTGTGCATTTTGAAAAGCAACTAGAATGTCTTCTCTGTGTGAGCCTTTTATTACCTTCTGACTACATCATTACATTTCTATTTTAGATATTTTTCTCCAATATTGGTAATATAGGAAGGGCATGGTTCCCCTGATAATGTGCCCTACACTCTTTTACAGAGACTTGTAAGCACACATGAACCATCTCACAGATTTGTAAAAGTAAATATTGTGTGGTCTCATCCCACATTTCAGTGATCATTATTTCTGTGGAAAGAGGAAGTGAGAAAATCACCAGGAAATGTCTGGTTTGGATAAGATGCAGAAAGTGGCACCAGGCTGCCCTGTTCAAGAGAGGCTAGAGTTTTTCTGAGTTGTACTTGGTGCATCTTTCCAAAGAGAAGCTGGGTGAAGGTAAGATGACGGTAAGGCAACTAGGCATGGGCCAGCCAGTGACTGCTTGAGGGACATCACATAGCGCTAGCAAGTGGAATCTGTCCCGCAGCCTGATTGCAAAGGCAACTCTGCCATTCAGGCTTTGTTGTTTCATTCCCTTGGTGTCAGGAGGTGAGCACAGTCAGGGTGGCTGATGGGAAACAAGTGGATGGATGTGGGAATTGGTGAGAGGCAGCAGCTGGCTGAAGTGCCCAGGATTCTTTCTTTTTACTCAGGGGGTCCCATCCCAGGACCATTAACCAATAGGCCATAAACAAATTGATATCGGAAAATGTGGGTGGAAACTCTCTGATTAGCAAGGGTGAATGGGGAATGAAAGACAAAGTGAAAGTGTGATTTAACAGTTCCACAAGCAATTTCCATTGCCACCTCTGAGGGATTAGGATGTGTGGAATAGGCAAAAAAAAAAAAAGAGGAGGAGCTCTCCCCTGCTTTGTTCTGTGGGCTGGAGGATAATAAAACGGCAGGAGAGGCAGTGTGGCTAGTTAGGGATTTCACAGACTGCTATTTGATGCAGTTTAAGGAGCCCTTCTGCTATTGTTGCAGTTAAAATGGGAAGCGGAACTGTTCTCCTTTTGCAAAAATCTCCAGCGTCCTCAGGAAGAGGGCTGAGAGCAAAAGGCTATTAAGATGGTAATGCTGCCCCATTTGGAGGAGTGTATCAAAATCCTCTTTGTCAATGTAAATTGCTTCTCTGTTTCCCTGGTATCTTTGCATCTCATGGCCTCAGTGCAAGCACAGAAATTTTTGGAGGACACCCTAGTGAAGACAGAACTGCTTCTCTTTTATTGTCAGAGGAGATCTCCAGGATGCCCAAGGGTCCCTTGGAGAAAACTTCTTTGATTTTATAAACTTGAAGTGTTTGGGGATGAAGAGAATCCATTTATGCACTCACTCATTTATTTCCACTTTCAGACTAGAGAAATTATATGTGATGATTGAAAAGCAAGATTGGACAGTCAGAAATTTGGCAAGAAAAGTCTTCAGCCTCCTCCTTTCATTGCTTCAGATTGCTCTGTGCTATAGAGGGAGTGGACTGCAACCCCAAAAATACCCTCAGTTGCCTTTACATTGCAATGCAATGTCATGTTATGTTCTGCCATACAGTACAGTGTCATTCTTTGATGAACCTGAATTGTGAGTGCAGAATCCAGTCTGACAGCCAGTCTCTATTTTGTTGAGATCTTAGACAAAAAGGCAGAAAAAACTGGATCTAAGGTCTGCAAAATATTGGAAGTTTTGCTGTCAGCTTGGGTTTCCTGTTCTGAGAACTTGCTATTTCAATATACCATTTTCAGTGAGTGAAGTCATACCACTAAAAAGGAGACTAAAATTAAAAGAGTTCCAGATCTACTTGATTAAGAGTGCAAGTTGTAAGATGTCTCAGCTGAGACTTTGTGGAAGTCTCATTCCATCTGCAAAAGGGACATGGTGGCTGTTTGCCAGCTGAGGAGTCTGTTGGGACTGAATGCTTAACTAAGTGATTAACATTGTTCTTCACGGAAAAAAACTCAGAAACACTGAAAACTTAAGGCAAATTATATTAGTGAGCTAGGACTTGCTTTTGAGTAATGATATATTTTCAGTTTCATGGGATTTAAAGATGGATAGAGTTATCAGCTCGTCCAAACTGACCTCCTGTGTATCATAGATGTTTCCTTCAGGCACCTGATAACTTTGTTGCAGTCATTTCTTCTAGAAAAGTAATCACTATTATTTGTAGACATAAAGAAATGTGAGTTTGCCTTGAAAGTGTTTTCAAGTTTTAGCTACCTTGTTGCAACACCCTTGTTCAGATTAGAATTTGTCTGCGTTCAGCTTTTGGCCTCAGTTCTTGTTACGACCTTCAGTGCTAAAAAAAGCACTGTTGCTGTTAAATGGTTGTCATTTTTCATGAGTGTACTTGGCATTATGATTTATCTCGCTATTTTTTACTCTTCCTTTTTGAAAGAAAGGTACAACTGTCCATAAATTTAACCTCAAAATTTTGTGTCTCCTGCTGACTGGCTCCCCTCATTACTCAAAGAAAGAACAGAATACCTTGTATTTTGCTAAAGAGAAGAGTTTGGGGGTTGTGCCACAGGACTGGATAATTAGTTGATTAATCCATCCTTTCTATAGCCCTATTTTCCACTCTACACAACCTGTCTGAACACAAACGTGCTCACCTTGCATGTAATGTCCTATAGAGGCAGGTAGCTTGTTATATGTAGAAACAAAAGAATGTGGCACTTGGAAGAGAGTGTCTTAAGTTTCACAGTAGTAAAGGAAAAGATCTAGTAACAGCTAAATCTAGGAAACCCTGGTACATTATGTTTCATTTGTCACTAAGGTAATGAAAGAGGCTCATTTTTATCTCAAAATAGCATAGGGTCTGGGCTTGTAGTGCAGCATGGCAAACTGTCTCCAAAGTGCTATGACTAATTTCTATGGCTGAAGCAAATGAAAAGTGCCTCATTTTATTTTGTAAAGAAACAAGTAGTGAGGTAGAAAAGGAATTGTGAAAGAAAGGGCAGCATTATTTGTATTGTATTGTGTGGGTTTGAACAGTGAAAGACAATGATTTACTGCATCAAAAGCTTTTATTCAGTTGAAGAACTGTAACTATAAAGTGACCTTTGTCTGGAGCAACATGGATATAATCTGTAAAATGAAGCAGGGTTGTACTTGATGTATGAATAGGTGGAAGACAGATTAATGGGAATAGAGTTGTGCATTGCTATTGAGATGGTAAAAGATTTGCAGTGCCACTGGTGATTTCCAGCCCTATTGGAGGGATAAAGATGAACTGATCATTGTTAGGATCTCTGTGGGGTGGAAGCGTTTTTGCTGTATTCC